CTTCAGATTCTGTGTCTCCTTCTCTCTCTGCCCCTCCCCCCGCTGTGCTCACTTGAGTTCTCTCTCTCTCTCTCAACAATTAAAAAAAAAAAAGTTACCCTAATACACTTAAAATAGAGTTCTATTTCCCAATGTTTTTTGTAAGTATTGGGAAGAAGGCTGGTGGCCTCTTCTGAGCCCAAAAGGCCTGTCTGAACTAAAATCCTACCTCTGCCACTTTAGCTATGTCACTGTGAACCAGATTCCCCATGTCCCTGAGCCTGGGCAACCTGAACAGCGTGCTGGGCGGTAGAGGAAGCCCTGGGTTCTAGTCCTGCCTCAGCTGCTGCAGAATCTTGAGCAAACGTTCATCCCTCTGAGTCTCAGAATCCTCGTCAGGGGAGTGGGGCTGCTTCACCTCCCCTCCAGGGTCACCATCTCCTTGTGACCATCAAGGAGGGAATGGCCATGAAGAGTGCAGAGTGCCATGGGAGTGTGAGATGGGCTTCCTGCTACCAAAGCCCAGAGAATGAACCCGCGTCAGGCACGGCAGGTGCGGCAGGTACAGAGGCCGGCGTTACAGAAGGGAGAAGCATAGGGACGCTGCTCCTGACTGCAGAGAGAGGAGCTGCTGAGGTAGCCCCGGCTGCCTCAGGAACTCGGCTGGTCCAGGCAGGTGAACTCGGAGATGCTCTAAGAGTCTCCCAGGGTGCATCTAGATGTCCAGGGGTCAAGGATGGGAGAGTGACTTTTTACATCACATATACGTGTGTGTGTGTGCGCACACATATCCTTTCGTACCTCTGAGCCTTATAAATATTTCACCTGTTCAAAAATAAATTATAAGGGAGCCCTTCACGTCTGTGGGCACTGGCTATCAACACGGCCATCTGCATCCATGTCCTAAACCTCTGTTACCAAGGCCAGAGGGGAAGAGAGGAGCACGGGCGGAGAGGGAGACTGGGCTTGAGCCCAGACTGAGCGCCTAAACCCCCCTCCCAGACCCCGAGGCCAACAGGGACAGCATGACAGCCATGTAACTGGTCTTCCCGCTGCCCCAATCAGGATCAGTTTACATGGCTAGGACCTGGGGTCTGCCTGCCTGTCCATTCTCCCCCGTGTACTCTAAACTCCAGCCACACTGACATTCTTTTCAATTCCTTAATCACATCCTGAAACACCTCTTGCCTCTGGCCTTTGCTTGCCCTGTTCCTGCTAACCCCTCCACCCTGTCCATCTGGTTAGCTCCTACTCCTCTGTCTCAATGAGCAGTCTTCCCTCAGCCTAGACTAGGATAGGGCCTCTCAGTGTGCTCTCACACCAGGCTTGCCCAACGTAAGGCACAGGGTGCATTACCATTCCCCGTTTTCTATCTGCTGTCCTCCTGCCTGCTGTGCAGCGGGTACTCACTAAACACTTATGGGATGGATGGATGGATGGATGGATGGATGGATGGATGGTCAAAGGAATGAATAAATCCCAGCTCTACTACTTGTTGGCAGTGTGACCTTGGACAAATATGCCTTCCGAGCTATAGGGTCGTCTCACAAGCGGGAGTACCGGGACGTGGCTTCCACGCGATTAGCATCGACTGCTCAGGGTCATGATCTCACTGGGTTGTGAGTTGTGCCCCTTAGCGGGTTCTCTGTGCTGACAGCTCGGGGCCTGGAGCCTGCTTTGGATTCTGGGTTTCCCTCTCTCTCTGCCCTTCCCATGCTCATGCTCTGTCTCTCTCTGTCTCTCAAAAATAAAGAAATGTTTAAAAAAATAAAAAATAAATAAAATGGGGCCAGCCGATGTTTATCTCCCTGAAATGTTATAAGATTAAATGAGGCATGTGGCAATCCTGCATATAGTTGGTGCTCAGCAAATGCTTCTGGAATGTGACGAGCAGCTAGCACCATTCATTTGGCACTTTCACTGCCGCGGTGTGTGTTCGCTGGGCATATATCTTGCCTGCTAACTGGCTGACAATCCCTTGGAGGCAGGGAACTTGTCTGTTCCCTGCCATGCCTCACCCAGCTCTGCAGGCACTCTGGGCTGGAAATGAGGTGTGGGACTCGCCATCCATCTTAAATGCCCGTGTGAGACCCGTGTCTTAGAAACTTCTTGAAAACTTACAGCCCAGCGTCGGTCTACCATCTCTTCCGAGGAGGCTCTCAGCTCTAGGAGTCTGACTCCCACCTGGAATGGCCATCCCCCTGCCTTAGATGATCAGAGCCCCCAGGTGGACACACAGCCCCACGCTGTCTACACCTGTGACCCCAGATTTTCTCTCTGCTTGCTGCAAGCATGAGAAGAGACCCGTATATACCCCAGCATCAGAGAAAACCAGGGCCGAGTTAGCTAGTCTTCAGCTCCCACCAGAGAGACCGTGTCTGCTCCTTCCTGTGTGTCCCCCAGTGCTCCTAGCACAGTGCTGGGCATTTAGTACCTGCATGAAAATGCTTGTCAACAAATCAACGGGTGAAAGAATGAACAAAGGAATGAACAAATGAACTCGAGCTAGCATAGAGCAGTGTTAAGAACAAATGCTTTGAAGTTAGCCTCGGGTTGGAATCTCAGCTCCACCACTTAGTTGCTGAGGGACCTGGGCAAGTAACTTAACCTCACCATGCCTTAGTTTCCCCATCTGTAGAAAGAAAATAATGAGGGTACCTTACCTCATACAGTTACCGTGCCGACACAGAGATAACATACAGCACTCCACACCCTGCCCAACTTTACAAATGTTAGCAACGCCGTTAACTGTTGCATGCTATAGAACAGAATGGGGCCCCCCGGTATTATTATTGTTATATACAGTTACAGTTATTATTTAGTAATGAACAAGTGATCCGGAATGCGGAGGCTGGAGACTACCAGCCTGGACTGATTAGCTTTCTGATCATGTCCCTTCACTGCCAGCAACCATTTTTGAGAAGCAGCAAAGGCCTAAGAGATGCGACTCAGGGGAGAAAGAACAAACACCCTGCTTGGCACCTTCCAAATGGAAGGTCGGGGACGTGCTCTGAGGGTGGGGGTGGGGGTGGGGGGTAGGCTCTGCTGGCCTTTGGGTGCAGAGCTGACCTCTGGTCCCTGGAGGCAGCAGCTCGGGGGTCGTGTTCAGTGGGGCTGAGGCCAGCCAGATGGGATGCAGGGCTGGAAGAGCCTCTGTCCACCGCTCACACGTGGGGCATGGCGCCGTCACCTACGTCGTTAGCATCCACCCTAGACAACTTTGGCAGCCACCAGGCCTTTGAAGCGGGGACCGCTTCACAGTCCTGGGCCAACTGGGCCAATAAGCACCAGCGTCTGACCTGGTAGAGGGGAGCCGGCTCCTCCCACCTTCTCTGGCAGTCAGGGATCTGGGTGGGCCGGACCTGCTCCCCGCTGCCCTTGGTTATCTCGGTTCAGGGAAAGGGCACTGGATGGAAGGCAGGCCAGACAGGGGGTTGCGGCTGCTTGGGCAGACGGCCAGCAGGCGCACACTGATTCCGCGGGCTTTGGTGACGACACACGTCTCCTGGCCCACGAGTGCACAAGCCCGCTCCGAAGGACGAGACAGGTGCCCCGCCCTGGCCAGCTGCCCTGCTCACCCGCTGCAGGAACTCCGTCCGCTCCTTCTTCTTGTTCCGGCATCGGGCTGCCGCCACTTTGTTCTTCTCCCGGCGCCTTTTCCTTCGCTCCTCTTCTTCATCTAGCTGTGAGGGCACAGAGCCGCGGATTAGACATCCAGGCGGGCCTGGAGCACCGCTTCCCTCCTGACACAGACGGCAGATGGACAATGTCCCCCGCAGTGAGGGAGCCATCCCTGTCTGCCAGCCCACTGGCTTCCCTGCTGGTGGGTCGGAAACGCTTCCCAGCCAGCCCACGGATCCTCTTAGAGCAGGTGGGCAAACCTGGGAGGGGTCGGTGTCCCAGGAGGGCCGGGCCGCCTGGGTTCTGCCAGAGTTCAGGAGGCACCAAGCCCGGCAAGTCTATTCACACGGAGGTGACACCCAGCGGGTGGTGACGGCCCTGTTCTCTTGCCCAGCCCAAGCCTTCTGGGCACTATTTTCCAGGCCAGTGGTTCCCAGGCACTCCTTTAAAAAATGCCTTGGGCATGGACATAGATTTCACATTCTACCCCCACACACTTCCGCCTCCCCGGGGGTACCTTCGCCCTGCCTCTTGGTCCTTCCAGACGCTCTGATCTACCTCCTGGTGCTAGTAAACAGCACCGCCCCCCCGCCCCCCTATCTCTCCTCACCCGGGTTTGGTCCTTTTCACTGCTTCTTCAGGTTGTCCCCCACGATACCCCCCCTGTATCCCAGGGTGCCAGGGCTCCCCCAAGTGCCCTGCACGGACACAAGCAGAGGGGCCTCCCGAGTCTCCGGGTTTGCTTGCTTCTCCCCCAGGATACATTAGAAAATTCACCATGCATAAAATAGGGCCCATTAAGTGGGAAGGGAGAAACTCACTGCCCACCAGCCCTGACCCCAGCAGGATCACTTTGCGGTGGTGCCTCTTGCTGTCTGTTAGCTACCAGGAGAATCCGGAGGACACACAGGACCAGCTGAGGCGGGGGACAGCCTGGAGTCAGAGGCCACTAGAGAAGTCACTGGATTGCCCTGGCCTTGCCAACTCTCTCACTTCTTGAGCCAGTGGGGGTGAATCTGGCAGCCTGAGGCCTGGAACGAGGTCTCAGCTGAGAGGGCTCCAGGCCAGGAAAATAAACACCCTCTCTGTGCACTCCCAGCATGCTCTAGGAGCTTAGGACCGAGGGCCTGGCCGGAGACCAGCACCCACGGCCATCGGCACAGGTCCTGGTAACACAACCTTCTCCTTCTCCACCACCTCTGAGTTTCTCCCTGACCCGCCCCACCCCTCCGGGGAGGCTGGCTGGAGAGGCAGCTTGTCAACACGGCCACACCCAAGCACCTCCCGGCCCCTTGGCCTCCCTTGAAATAGAACCAGAAGTGACAGCACCTCTGGCTGACCCGTATCTGGGAAAATAGAAACCTGGACAAAATTGATTCCACCCAACCTCAACCTCACCCCCACCAGGGCCGAGGTAACCGTGACGACAGGCAGAGGGAAGGAACTGGAGGAAGTGGCCGGCAGTGCAATCTCCCCTCGGCCAGGAGGGTTTGCCCACAAACTGCCAAGGTGATGTGTGCAACCTGGGCACTGCCGGGCTCACGGGGCCCGGAGCAACCCCGGCTTCTGGCAGAGCAGCCGTTTCCTGGGAGACGCCACCTCTGTCCTCCAAGACCCAGCTCCCCGCCCCAGCCCTGCACAGAGCCGCAGGCAAACGGAAGCTGCGCCATCCGGCTGCGGATGCGAAGAGGCTCAACTGGGCCAGGCCGATGGCCGCGCTGGGGGCTTTCCAGCCCCCCTGTCCAGCCTTATCCGTCCCCTCCAGCCATCGCCTTCTCCCCACATAGCTCCCCCTTCTCCGAGCCAGCTGGGCCCTCCTGAGATAACCTTCCTCTCCTCCTTGGGAGACTCTTATTCAACCTTCGAGAGCAAATGTCACCTCCTCCAGGAAGGCACTTTTGACTCCCCAGACAGAATCGGCTGCTTTTCCTGTGCTGCTACAGGACTTTGAGTCCCCTGCTTTCAGGGTCTCTATCGTATCCCATCATAGTTCTCTGTGTATGCAGGTATCTGTGTTCCCTGCTGAAGGACGGGGGACCCGAGCATCGCCAACACCTGGATAGCACTTAATAGGGGGCTCAGCAAATGTCAGCCACATGAATGAGTGAAATAAACGATTCCAGGGAAAGGTGGCACAGGCTTGGATTCTGTGATTATAAAAGCAAGCTATTGCCTATGTTTGCCTCTGCATAAGCTTTTCCCCAGTGCCAATAAGGGGCCTTTGCTGCCAGGGATGGTCTCTTCTGTCCGTCTGCAGGAGCCCAGCAAAGCGTGGGGGTTGCATCCTGTCTTCCCCAGAAGCACAATGACCAAAGACAGAGTCGCGGCCGGGGGCAGGCCCCCCGGTGGCTGTGGCAGGTCCGCACGAATCTCGAACAGGCACAGACACACTCCAGGCTGTGCACTGAAGCCTAAACACCCCCTAAAGTTCCACAGCCACCAGCGGCTTCCACGCCCATCCCCAGGCCTCTCCTGCCCCCACGCTCCACCTCAGCTGACATCTCCCAATAAGGCAAGAAATGGCCCCAAAGCCCCATTACCACACCTTCCCCACTGACACTGTGCTACATGTTCCCCAAATCCTCCCTCCGCCACGTAAGAGCCGCCTGAGGAGTTCTGGAAACCAGCTGCTGGAGTCCCGCCAGAAAGAAGAGGGGGGCTGGGCAGTGCCCCTCAGCCCTCTCATCCCCACGGGCCAACTGTGGCCCAGGCCTGGGCGTTCTGTGTCCCCTGCCTGGGGCCCCCCCGGCCCCCCCGCCTCCCACCACCACTAGCCTCCTCCAGTTCCTTCTCTCACCACAGTCCCAAGGCTGCTGCCCCCGCTCCTTGACGTTCCCGAGTCTCTAAAACATTTGGCCATGAGGGGGTGAGACGGCAGAGTGTTGTCGCCACACACAGCGGGGACGTCTAAAACCGGAACCCCAAAATGGGGCATGATGATTTGTTGCTGCAGACGCAGTTGGAAGAACAAGAATGTTTGAGGAGGAGGCTGCTTGACGCCCAATACATTTAAAGACCCATGAGATGAAGGCCTGCTCTCAAACATAGCTCTGGCTCTGTTTTCCCCCAGTTCCCAGGAAGCCCTGGGGCAAAGCTGGCTGTGCACCGGGGTGAGGAGTGAGGGGGAGCCCTGTGCCACACTTCACATTGGAGGGACAGGCTAGGGGACTCGTGGCCAAGGGGGGCCTCCGGTCGAGCAGTCCCTCCTCAGATGGCCCGTTCCCAAGGCCCTGCTTGTGAGCCCCCGGCCACAGCTGACTGGAACAGGTGCGAACTGCTGACCAGGAGGGGCTGTATTCACTGAACTTGGACCGCTGGACTGAGGGACCAGCGGCTTCAGCCACGTGTCCAGAGAAGCAGAGCAATCAGGCTGCGATGCTTGCAGATGGGCAGAAGAAACCAAAGATGGTGTGGCAGGAAGGAAACAAACCCTCGGCTACGGAGGGGAGTCAGAGAGACAAAAAGAAGGAATGGCACGGGGCGCCTGGGTGGCGCCGTCGGTTAAACGTCCGACTTCAGCCAGGTCACGATCTCGCGGTCCGTGAGTTCGAGCCCCGCGTCGGGCTCTGGGCTGATGGCTCAGAGCCTGGAGCCTGTTTCTGATTCTGTGTCTCCCTCTCTCTCTGCCCCTCCACCGTTCATGCTCTGTCTCTCTCTGTCCCAAAAATAAATAAACGTTGAAAAAAAAAAAAAAAATTTAAAAAAAAAAAAAAGAAGGAATGGCAGACAGAGAGAAAAGCAGGGCCTGGGCCAGGGTGCCGCCAGTGAGGTGCCCAGGACACGAACCTAAGGAGACACTCACTCCAGAGCTCACACAGGGGCAGGGTCGGCACCCAAGACCGACTGCCTCCTTAAATGCTGTGCGCTGGGCGTCTGGCTCACCTCACCCTGGTCCAGGCCCTGAAAAACAGAGGGAGCTCCAGGCTGAGAAGGTGAAGGTGGAGACAGAGAGGAAAGAGAGAGCAGAGAGAGACAAAGATGGGTGGAGAGAGACATAGAGGCGGTGCCATTAGAAAGAGAAACACACAGAGGCATGAACAGAGGTCAGTGGTTAAGACAGGCCAAGTGAACAGACTGAAAGCACACACCGAGGAAGAAACTGTCTCAATCCTCCTGATTCCACCACTGGAGGGGCCTAGGATTCCTGCGCCTTGAGTCCGTGATGCATACCCCTGAGTCTATCCTGAAAAATTCCTCCTCTGGCCTGGAGGGAGTTTGAGCTTTCTGCCTCTTGCAACTGAAAGATGCCCGTGTCTCACAAAGAGCTTGAGCAAACAGAGGTGGTTGGTCTTGGTACGTATCCAGTCCTCTGGACTAGGGGTCTCAGCAGGTTAAATGGCTTCAGTGAGCCGAGGACAGTCCTATTACCCTCCCCACTTTTACACATGACAAAACTAAAGATATCAAGGCTGCGCAGAAGGTCAGTGGCAGCTTGAAATCCGGGCCTTTTGGCCCCAGGGCCCAAGAGCCTCCTGCTCTTTGAAGGGCTGCTGGCCTATGTGTGCCCCACACACATATGGTAATACGCCCCCTGTCCTTTCAGCACTGGCCTAGTGATGGGATTGTAAGTAGCAACAGAAGCTTCTGACTCTGACGACAATGACCGTGTTGTTTTTCCCTATTCGGGTCTTTTAAAATAAAAACAATTTATTGCCCAAGTAACACTGAATGTGTAACATTAAAGCTGACTGGTTTACGGGGGCGGGGGAGGGGGCGCCTGGGTGGCTCTGTCGGTTAAGCATCCGACTCTTGGTTTTGGCTCAGGTCACGATCTCACGGTTTGTGGGATCGAGCCCCGCATCGGGCTCTGCACTGACAGTGCGGAGCCTGCTTGGGATTCTCTCTCTCCCTCTCTCTCTGCCCCTCCCCTGATCATGTGTATGTACTC